GTTCATATAAGCAGCAGGAGGTCACCATATGCTAGGGAGAAATCTGCCCCCCAATATCCTGCCTCCTGCCCTCCTCACCTGCCAGTCCAGGAACGCAGCAGGTCCCGCAGAATTGGCGAACGGCTATAAACTTGACCCCTTTTCGCTTGCCCTTGGTGGCCGGTGACAGCCGCAGGGACGGCAGCAACACTCACACTTTAGTGTCTGCTTGCGGATCAGGAATACTACTTGGGATCATCACATGACTGTGTATGGATCGGGGAAGGCTTGTAGAAGGCTCGACCGCAGCTCGGTGCCTGCCAAGAATTGTACAAGAATGTTTCCTTTCTGCATGGCCCAGGCATGTGACGAGGTATCGTCTTCGCCGAAGCTCAGGCTCGCAGATCGACGGAAACTTCGGCGCATACTTTTTCCGTGCGTTTATGTCAACTCTCGATCCCGTTGCCTGCCTGTCATGCTGATCCTCTGGCTTCAATACTTTCAGGATGATTTACTTAAAGAGTAACTGCTGTTAATATAGCTTAGTAAATAAGGTGAAGCCGTACTGACTTTGAATACTCAATGATGTGGAGCAGGATAATGCTTGCACACGATTGAAGTGAAAAACATTATTCAGCTAACAGCTGTTCCTTTAGAAAATAAACCCAACTGAGTCACTAACCCAGAACCAGCGGGATGTGTGCATGCTTGTTCCAAGTCAGTGATTGAAGACAGAGGCTTGGCAAAACTGCCAGGGAATTAGCATTTTTAAATGGATGTCAGCATATGTAAGCTGTACATAGATGTGGGAGGGGCCCAGCAATGAGAGAGAAGCAGTGACGTCTTTATTACAGGAGGGGGAGGAGACCAGACCAGTCACCCTGCACAAGAAGATAGAGCAAAAGTGAGCGGTCTTTATTACAGGAGGGGCAGAGACAAGACCAGTCACACTGCACAAGAGGAGAGAGTGAGGCAGTGACCAGTCTTTATCACAGGAGGGGATGGAGACCAGACCAGTCACCCTGCACAAGGAGAGAGCAGCAGTGACTGGTCTTTACTACAAGTCTCACGCTGGATTACTGCACAGATCTGGAAGAAATACGCAAACCTCAACAAGATTCAAGAAGAATACACATGATACTTGTATTTAGGGAATATTTGCTCATTCACAGCTCATATTTAAGATGTTTATGTTCAAGAAATAATAAAATGATATCTGGTGGTCCTGCCATGAAGGTCCTGGTTCAGGCACTTCCTTTTATAGGGTGACAACTCTTGCTGCTGCTTTGTCACCTTGTCACAGGCGCCCCCTAGAGGAGAGTACCACCTGCTGCGCCTATACACGTTGCTTACGTAAGGTCCACCATAGTCATTTTTTTCTTCTTCTTTCCAATTCATCTTATTTGGGGGGGTTTTGGGTGGTTTAGGGATGGGAGGGATTTTGGGTCGTCGTTTCGCTTGCTTTTTTTTTTTTTTTTTTTAGTTGAGACCCCTAGGGGGGAAGAATGGTTTTAATATCAATGGGAAGGGAAATCTATGGTGGCTGTTTTAGGAAGAATATATTTCTCTTCTGTTTCTGATTGGATTTCTCCCTGGGAGAGTCTTTTAACAGGATGTTTACATGTTTATATGTTTGTATTGTTATATATAGAAACAATAAAGAAATATTATACATTAAGAAGTCGGTCCAGAGCAATCAGGGCAGCCATCAGGGGGGTACGGCCGATACTCATGTATGGGGCCCGAGCAGCCTGGGGGGGCCCGCCCGGGTCCCTTACATGACTATTGGCCGATATGTCGGACTGGATGTCACTTCTGGCCTGTCCGGCGGCAGACGAGGCCACGTGTGCAGGTAAGAGGAGCTAGGAAGGAAGGAAAGGAGGGGGGGAGGGAGGGATGCAGCCCTAACCAGCCTACCTGAGACCCGTCCGGAGCCCACCATAGACAGTCTCAGATGGGCTGTGCAGCATCTATGGTGGGCTCTGCAGGGTCACTCTCAGGTGGGTCCTGTGTCCAGTGCGTCACTAAGCCCTGCGTCTAGCGCGTCACTAAGCCCTGCGTCCAGCGCGTCACTAAGCCCTGCGTCCAGAGCGTCACTAAGCCCTGCGTCCAGCGCGTCACTAAGCCCCGTGTCCAGCGGCGGGGGGGGGACCCCGCCTAAAGCCGTGTAAGGGGCCCCAAAATTTCTGATGGCTGCCCTGAGAGCAATGATTTGCAGCGGACCCCGGAGCTAGTGCATGTTGTCAGGAAGTGGCAGAAGGGGGCCCGAAGGAGATCAGCAGCACAGAGATAAGTAAAAATATTTTTTTTTAAAGGTGGGAAATAGGTTGTATTGAAAAAAATATACATGAATTGTCTATTATACGCAAGCGTCTGAAGAACGTGCGGAAAACAGGTGATGATGGTACCAGCAGGGCCACCCATGGATGGAATTTTGGACGATTCAGCAGCCAATTGCTGATATTCATTACGTGTATAGCCAGACATACCAAGTAGCAAAATAATCCACTTAGTAAACTCTGGCTACTTCCTTCCTTGCTCCCTTATACTCGTATAGACTCTCCACAAGGCCCAATGATAAACCTTCAGATTTAGCTTGTTGCTGAAGGGGAAATGCAGAATCAGCGGAGTGCAGTGAATATTATCAGCTGCCATAGGTGATCATTGGTCACATGACACATTATATACAGTATATTATTCCGAATATATATCTATGTGGCCACTGAGCTCTGTCTGATGTTGATCTGACAAAACACGCGCAGGCATCAGTAGACAGGATAGGTCATAAATACTATCGGTAAAGTTTATTGACCTCCATTTCCTGACTTACATTATAGGATTTGTTATCTGGATCACATTGCATACTGCAGCATGAACAAACAGCCCCCAGGTTATGTTAGTTGGGACTAGGGCTGCCACCTTTTCTTCAAGTGAAACCCAAATACTCTTGCGCTGCGTGCAGTAATTTTTTTTTTTTTAAAGAATATAGAGGAGAGAGTGAGGAGAGGAAGCCAGGAGAAGGAGTAAGGAGACCGGCTATAGACGACTACAAATCCCAGCAATACCTTATACAGCAATACAAAATAATACGAAGCTATACATACACTGTGCTGTTTCAGGGTAGTGCCCTGACGTCTCCAGGGTCTTAGGTGGCCTGTGCGGGTTCTAAGATGGCTGTGTGGGGTGTTAGGTGTGCGTTGCAGATTCTCAGATGGCTGTGTTGGGTCTCAGGAGGGCTACGCAGGCTCTCAGATGGCTGTGTGGGGTCTCAGGTGGGCTATGCAGGCTCTCAGATGGCTGTGTGGGGTCTCAGGGGGGATATGTGGGCTCTCAGGTGGGGTATGTGGGCTCTCAGATGGCTGTGTGGGGTCTCAGGTGGGCTATGCGCACTCTCAGGAGGGCTATGCGGGCTCTAAGATGGCTGTGTGGGGGTCTCAGGTGGGACATGTGGGCTCTCAGACGGCTGTGTGGGGTCTCAGGTTGGCAATGCGGGCTCTCAGATGGCTGTTTGGGGTCTCAGGAGGGCTATGCAGGCTCTCAGATGACTGTGTGGGGTCTCAGGTGAGATATGTGGGCTCTCAGGTGGGATATGCAGGCTCTCAGATAGCTGTGTGGGGTTCTCAGGTGGCATATGTGGGCTCTCAGGTGGGGTATGTGGGTTCTCAGATGGCTGTATGGGGTCTCAGGAGGGCTATGCAGGCTCTCAGATGGCTGTGTGGGGTCTCAGGTGGAATACGTGGGCTTTCAGGAGTGCTGTGTGGGAAGTGCAGGGGTCTCAGCTGGGGCCCAGAGGCGGCCAGCATTCTGTCCGGAAGGAGCTGGAGGAGATGTGCAGAACGGTGCCTGTTTACAGGCGCACGCGGCTCACTGGAAGATGCAGCGGCCTGAGGTCTTGCGCTTGCTGGGGACCTCAGGCAGCCGCAGCTGTCAAAAAACGTAAAGTGCCGTTATTTGCACTAATTGTGTTCGGGTGTCAGCTGGCCTGAAACCCTGACAAAAGACTCAAAAACCGGACTGTCCAGGTCAATCCTAGTTGGGACGGATTATTTTCTGACCTTCGATGGTCTCTGAAATTATTTTCAAAAATTCACTTTAGAGAAGCTGTGCGGACCTCCGATCAACATCATGTTCCCTGCGGTATTAGGATTACAGGGAGGGTAAGGGTTAAAGGTACGGTTAGTGTTGGAGTTGCTGGGAGCGTTGGGTGGTGGCTACAGGGAAAGTTAGTGTTAGGTGGCCATACACTGTACAACCATCGCAAGACCTTAGTCTTGCGATGGTTGTAAAGTGATTAAAAAAACGTACGATCTGCCCATCTTGGACAGGCAGATCGTACTCTCGATCATCGCAAGCCCGCCCCCCTGAGGGGCGGGCTTCCGATGACCGCAATGCTGAACAGGCAGTGTGCGCGTGCGCGTGCGCGTGCGCCTTGACCGACTGGAGCCCGCCTTGACCGCCTGGAGCCCGCCCTGACCGCCTGGAACCCACACTGACCACCTGAGAGCTCACACTGTTCCCCCTGGAGCGCGCACTGACCCCCCAGAGCCCGCACTGACCCCCCAGAGCCCGTACTGACTGCCTGAGAGCCCATACTGACTGCCTGAGAGCCCATACTGACTGCCTGAGAGCCCGTACTGAACGCCTGGAACCTGCACTGGCCCTCATAGAGCCACACTGGTCACCTAAGAACCTGAACAGCATCCCGAGAGCCTGTACAGCCCCCCTAAACTCCGCGCAGATCCTGGAGACATCAGGCCGCGAACCCGGAGCAACACAGAGGGAGGAATTTATCAAAACTGGATCAGACAAATCTGGAGCTGATTTGTACTGCAACCAATAAGCTTCTATGTCTCATTTTCAAACCTTACCTGTGCAAACTAAAAAGAGATGCTGATTGGTTGCCATGGGCAACTGCTTCAGATTCTGCCTGCTCCAGTTTTGATAAATTCCCTCCAGAGTATGTAGGTTTATAATATTCTGCAGTGCTTTACAATGTATTGCTGAGATTTGTAGTCCTCTCAAGCTGATGTTATTATTCTGCATTGCTTTACATTGTATTGCTGGGATTTGTAGTCCTTTATAGTTGGCAGTATTATGCATTGCTGTATAATGTATTGCTAAGATTTCTTGTCTCTCTACAGCTTGGAGTCAGTGGCAGATCTACCTGGATCGCAGGTGCAACCGGGCCCTGGCACTCCAACACTGACTCCAAGCTGTAGAGAGATTACAAATCACAGCCCTGACAGGAGGAAGAGCTATTTCCATAAAAAGGCC